TTGAATGATGAATACGGTTCATCCGACTCTAAACTTTTGCAGTACCACTTGATTGATGAATACGGTTCATCCCTTGCTTCGCCGATGTTATGATACTTGATTGGTGAATACAGTTCATCCCTTGCTTCGCCGATGTTGTGACACTTGATTGATGAATACGGTTCATCACTTGCTTCGCCGATGTTATGATACTTGATTGATGAATACGGTTCATCCCTTGCTTCGCCAATGTTGTGACACTTGATTGATGAATACGGTTCATCCCTTGCTTCGCCGATGTTATGATACTTGTTTGATGAATACGGTTCATCCCTTGTCCTGATAAAGTTTGATTCGTTGTTTTGAAAGACTTCGGCTATATTCATGCAAACCTTTATTTTTAGTACCATTCACTGAGTTTTGTACTCACCCCTCTATATATATGTAGGTGATGAGCAGGACGGCGGCGACGCCTAGATCGTTTTGGATGCTTGTTTTGGATTCATGCTTATGTCGGCTTTACTTTTGCATTTACGTCGGCGATGCCCTGTTTTACATGTCGGCAAATCTTGAAAATCATGCTTCTTGACTTGTATTAGCTGTATTTCGTACATGTTGGCTCGAGAAGCCTTTTGATCAAGATGTAATATGTATTTTACCTTGTTGTATCTAAGTTGTAAAGTTAATTGGAATGTTTGGCATCGCTTTAATCTACGCACAGCTCTTATGGACCACTTGTATCTGACTTATTGCTTCCGCATTTGTGAGCCCCTATATCCATACTCTGATTGTGTTAAGTTCTTGAAAAGTTGGCCTTCGGTAATTACGGATTACTGGCCATCACGGCACCAAACTACTAGGGGCGGTTTGGGGTCGTGACACTTAGTGGCCACACAATTGCGAAAGATATGCGCAGTTTCTTTAGTGTGAAAACCACACCGAGGACATTCCGCATTATCAGACAACCCTTACTAGGGGCGGTTTGGGGTCGTGACAGTAATTTACTGAGAATTTTACTTCGTAATTTACTCAATAATTTACTAATTAATTTACTGGGAATTTACTAAGAATTTACCAAGTAATTTACTGAGAATTTACTGAAAATTTACTAAGTAGTTTACTCAGTAATTTAATGGGAATTTAGTGAGAATTTACATAGTAATTTACAGAGAATTTACTGGGAATTTATTGAGTAATTTACTGAAAATTTACTGTGAATTTACAAAATAATTTACTGATTAATTTAATTTGAATTTACTGGTAATTTAATAAGTAATTTACAGAAAATTTACTAGGAATTTACTGAGTAATTTACTAAGAATTTACTGAAAATTTACTGAGTAATTTATAGAGTAATTTATTGGAAATTGACTAAGTAATTTACAGAGAATTTACTGAGTAATTTACAGAGTAATTTATTGGAAATTTACTAAGTAATTTATAGAGAATTTATTTAGTAATTTACAGAGTAATTTATTAGAAATTTACTAAGTAATTTACAGAGAATTTACTGCATAATTTATTGAGTAATTTACTTAGGATTTACTGAGTAATTAACTGGGAATTTACTAAATAATTTATTGTGAATTTACTGAGTAATTTACTAAATATACTGAGTAATTTACCGATTAATTTACTGAGAATTTACTATGAATTTATTAAGAATTTTTTGAGTAATTTACTGAGTATTTACTGAAAAATTTACTAGGTAAGTTAATGGGAATTTACTGAGAATTTACTGAATAATTTATTAAGAATTTACTGGGAATTTATAGTGTAATTTACTGAGAATTTACAGTGAATTTATAGCTTAATTTACAAAGAATTTACTGAGTAATTTAATGTGAATTTTTTGGGAATTTACTGAAAATTCACTCGGAATTTTCGTGGCAATTTATGGAGAATTTATTGAGTAATTTACTAAGAATTTGCTGAAAATTTACTGGAGATTTACTGAGTAATTTACTTCGAATATACAGAGTAATTTATTGGGAAATGTACTGAGTAATTTATTGGAAATTTACTAAGTAATTTGCTGGGTAATTTGTAGAGTAAGTTTCTGGGAATTTACTATGCAATTTACTAAGAATGTACTCGTAATTTACTTAGAATTTACTAAGTAATTGCTGAGAATTTACTTGAAATTTACTGAGTAATATACTTAGAATTTTCTAAAAATTTACTGAGTAACATACTGAGAATTTATTGAGTAATTTACTTAAAATTTACTGGGAACTTACTGGAAATTTACTGCGACTTTATTGAGTAATTTACTGTGAATTTACTGAGTAATATACTGAGCAATTTACTGAGTAATGTGCTTAGAAATTTACTGAGTACTTTACTAGGAATTTACTAAGTAAGTTACTAAGAATTTAATGCGTAATTTACTGAGTAATTTTCTGAGTTATTTTTTGAGTAATTTACTGTGAATTTACTAAGAAATTTACTGGTAATATACTGAGAAATGACTTAAGTAATTTATTAGGAATTTTCTGGGAATTTAATGAATAATTTACTGAAAATTTACTAAGTGATTTGCTGAGTAATTTATTGGGAATTTACTAAATAATTTACTGAGTAATATATTGGGAATTTACTGAGTAATTTATTGAGAATGTACTTGGAACTTACTATGTAATTTGCTGAGTAATTTATTGAGAATTTACAGGAAATCTATTGAGTAATTTACTTGCAATTTACTGGGAATTTAGTGAGTAATTTATTTAAAATTTACTGAGAATTTACTGAGTAGTTTATTAATAATTTACTGAGAATTAATTGGGATTTTACTAAGTAATGTACTGAGTAATTTACTAAAAATTTACTGAGTAATTTACAAAGAATTTACTGAAAATTTACAGAGTAATTTACTTAAAATTTACTAAGTAATTTAATGAGAATTTACTGAGAATTTACATAGATTTTATTGAGTAATTACTGATAATTTACTGAGAATTTAATGGGAATTTAATGAAAAATTACTGGGAATTCACTTAGAATTTATTGAGTAATTATTGAGAATTTACAAAGAATTTACTGAGAATTTACGGGCAATTTACTAAGAAATTTACTTTGAATTTACTGAGTAATTTATTTGGCATTTACTGAGAATTTACTAAGTAATTTACAAGGAATTTACCGAGTAATTTAGTAAGAATTTACTTTGAATTTACTGAGAATTTACTAAGAATTTACTGCGTAATTTTCTGTGAATTTACTGAGTAATTTACGGAGTAATTTACTGGGAATTTTCTTGGAATTTACTGAGCTATTTATTGAGTAATTTAATGAAAATTTACTAAAAATTTAATGAGTAATTTACTGAATAATTTACTGTTAATTTACTGAGTAATGAACTAAGTAATTTACTAAAAATATAATGAGAATTTTCTGAGTAATTTACAGACAATTTACTGTGATTTTTCTGAGAAGTTACTAACTAATTTACTGAGTAATTTACTGAGAATTTACTAGGAATTTATTGACTAATTTACCCATAATTTACTGAGAATTTACTAGGAATTTTAAAAGTAATTTGCTGAGAATTTACTGAGTAATTACTAAGAATTCACAATGTAACTTATTGTGAATTTACTAAAAATTTACTGAGTAATTTACTAAGAATTTACATATAATTTACTAAGTGATTTATTGAGAATTTATAGGGTATTTACTGAGTAATTTACTAAGTATTTACTGAGTAATTTACAAAGTATTTTACTAATAATTTACATAGTAATTTACTAAGAATTTACTGAGTAATTTACTGCGAATTTACTAAGAATTTACTGATTAATTTATTGATAATTTACTGGGAATTTACTGAGTAATTTACGGAGTAATTTACAGAGAATTTACTGAGAATTTTCTAGGAATTTATTGAAAATTTGCTGAGTAATTTTTTTAAAATTTACAGGGAATTTACTGACTAATTTACTATGAATTTTTGAGAATTTACTTGGAATGTAATGAGTAATTTACTATTAATTTTCTGAGCAATTTACTGAAAATTTACATGAAATTTACAAAGTAATTTGCTGAGTAATTTACTCGTAATTTATTTAGAATTTACTGCAAATTTACTCAGTAAATAACTGAGAATTTACTTAGTAATTTTCTGAGTAATTTACTGATAATTTACTAGGAATTTACTGAGTAATTTATTGAGAATTTACTAAGTAATTTACTAAGAATTTAGGAAGAATTTACTTGTTTTTTTTGGGAATTTACTGAGTAACTTACTGAGAATTTACTAGGAATTTAATGAGTACTTCACTGAGAATTTACTAGGAATTTGCCGAGTAATTTATTGAGAATTTACTAAAAATTTACAAGCAATTTACTGAGTGATTTACTAAGTAATTTACAAAGAATTGACTGGGAATTTACTGAATAATTTACTGAGAAATTGCTTAGTAATTTACAGAGAATTTACTTAGTAATTTACTGGGAATTTACCAAGAATTTATCGAGTAATTTATTGAGATTTTACCAACTAGTTCATCGAGAATTTACTTGGAATTTACTTAATAATTTACTTTGTAATTTACTAAGAATTTACCGAGTAATTTACTAGGAATTTACTCGAAATTTACTGAATAATTTGCTAAGAATTTACTGAGTAATTTACTGAGAATTTCTTAGTAATTTGCTGAGAATTTACTGAGAATTTACTGAGAAATTTACTAAGTAATTTACTAAAAATTTACGGAGAAATTACTTGGAATTTACGGAGAATTTACTGTGTAATTTATTGAGAATTTTCTTGGAATTTACTGAGTACTTCACTAAGAATTTACTTGGAATTACTGATCAATTTGCTGGGAATTTACTAAGTAATTTACTGAGAATTTTTCAGAATTTATCGAGTAATTTACTGAGAATTTACTTAAATTTTACTAGGAATTTACTGAGTAATTTACTAAGTAATTTACTTAGAGTTTATCGAATAATTTACTGAGAATTTGCTGAGTAATTTGCAAAGAATTCATGTAACGCCCCAACTTCCAGGCCGTTAATTAAGTACAATATTACCACACAATTAGGATAGATAACCAAAACATCTTAATATACATATATAACCAGAGTTAGTATCACGGATCATTCGTTTATTTTCCATTGCAGGATTACAAAACATTGAAAACAAAAACAACTAGTCTAAGTCTTCAAATGAACCACCGCTCCAACACTTCATTGTATTTGCCTTTGCAATAACTTTCATCATTATAACTGCTTCACCACCTGGCATGACACGCCATGAGCTTTGAATGCCCAGTAAAAACACACACATCCCCATATCTTCTATCAACCAATCAACCATACATAGGACAAATTGGGTAACATAACATGCAAAATTACAACAAGGTTCTATGAATTAGGAGTTTGCCTAGACATCTAGGATCCCCCAAAGAGATCCTTCTACCTAACCACAAGGTTGAACACCGGATTACTCAGACTCCCCCTTTTGCTGCTTTGCAGACCTTACCACCTATGCCCACCTCCTGGTTATTTACCGGTTAGTGACATTGATGGACCTCAAAAGGGACGGCCAAACAAGTGGGCTCGCTTACACCCAAATCGTGCCTAGGGCTCGCTTACACCCTGCACATACCATACCAAATCGTGCCTAGGGCTCGCTTACACCCTACACATATCATACCAAAGGGCTCTCTTACACCCTGAAACCACCGCATAGAGTCCGAATACAACCGTGTCAACCTAGGGGCTCGTTTAGACCGCTTGCGCAAGACTTAACTCATTTGGTTTTAATTCCATTCACATGTTCAATACATAAATCATTCTGAAGCACAAGGGTGGACGTCACCCACTACCAACCCCTTTCCATTTCCCTTTTATTAGATCTTTTGCCAAGCAAGCTAGTCACATTCGGTAATTCGGTAATATAAAAGAGCATGAGACAAACATAAGAAATGAAATGTAGCCCATGATAATCATACATAGGTATGGTAAGGCAAGAAAATAACATTAGGCATGCTTTAAAATACTTAGAGACAAACAACACAACAAAACACCATTCCCAGCACTGTTCGGTTCTGCAGGGCTAACAAGAACGCTTTGGTAAAAATACTTATAGGTCAAATTAGGGGCTGAAATTGCACAGAAACAATATTCAATCTGTCTAGTTTCAATTCCAATTTTCAGAAGTTGCACAGCACCTCCACAAATTCATCTATAAACTATATTTGAAAACCTATCCAAATTTGTCACCCTTTGGGGAAACTAACTTTTCTCTCAATCTACCCGATGGTTTTCACTCAAATAAAATCTGTTGGAAAGAGGACTCCGCGTTCTAAATTTTGATAGAAGAACCAACATGAGGTGATTTTTCTAGAATTTTATAAAATTGCTAAAAGTGGACTATTTTTCAGAGATTCAGGACCAGATTTTTCAACAATTTATCCAAGCCCTAAAAACAAACAATTAGGAGCTAATAAAATTTTCACAAACTCTAAACACACCAAATATCCTACCATAAATTCAGATTTGAGAATTAAATAGATTTGATATTTATTTTAAATAAGGGAAGTTGCAGCAGTGCCTAATTTCACAAATTTCTAAGACAATAGCAATTGATCATACCCACACTTCAACATACACCAAAAACCCTATTTACAATTAATTTGCAACACAAGAGGCATATTAGACAATAGAAGGAGATGGTGAAAGAATTGGAGAAGACAAAGGAGGGGTATGTTCTTACCTTTTTGAGAGTCACCCTTATTATTATTTTT